GCATGCAGGTCGATGGTCGGCGACTTGGTGTTGAGAAGCTTGTGGAACCACCGTGCCCACCGTTGGCGAATAAACGTGGGGTCCCGAAGGACCTTGCCGTCCTCGTCCTTGATGTTCTGAGAGGTCAACGACCCCTTACCTTCGACGTCGATCATCTTCAGGTTTCTGAAGAAACCCGCCTGATCCCCCTCGCGGCGCTTTTCTCGAGCTGCCGTAAATAGCCCTCGAAGGACGTTTCCAGTGCTCTCCACCTCGCGATGCTGCGCTTCTTCCGCGCCGCCTTGAGCATCGCCTTCAGGGTCTCCTCGAAGGCGCTGTTCTTTGAGGCCCCACGCAGTTGCTGCTGGGCCGCCTCAATCTCTTTAGGCGCTTTTGAGATCTCGTGCTGCGCTTCGCTCGTGTACCAGCCTCTCTGCCCTCGTGCGCACCTCGCCAGCGGCGCGGTCTCAGCAGCGGCCGACATCACCGTAGCCGTCAGCTCGGTGGCGGTCTCTCCCGTTGGCCGCCTGAGCACCGTGGGCGGAGGGCCGCTGGAGGCCCTGTTTTGGAAGGCGACCCGTAGGTGTTTGTCCTTCCTCAACCGCTCGAGGTCGATACGGATCCGGCTGCTTCCGCTGTTCCCCCGCACTCGTCGGTTGGGTGCGACACGGGGGGGGAAGCGGACAGTCGTAAGTACGAGGTCGTGGTCAGAGTCCTTGAAGTCGACACGTTGGACGGCGACATTACGCACGAAACGCCGGTCCGTCTGACGCATGAGGATGAAGTCGAGGCGGTACTTCCCCTTCCCCTTGTTGGAGCTCTGGATTGTGTGCTGCACTCCACCTTTCGGTGTCCGGAAGTAGGTGTTGGTCAGGAAGAGTTGGTTGTCTGATGCCAGTCCAAGGAGTCGTCCCCGTTGTTGTTCATAATGTCGAGTCCGTACGCGCCCATAATCTTGGCATCGCAGCACCCGTCTCGCCTCCTACCAATGCGTGCGTTGGCGTCCATTAGCACCACGAGATGGTCACGGCTATGAACCTCCCGGATCACTGCGTCGAGAGCAGTCCAGAAGGAGTCATTGGCGTTAACATCACCGCCCGCGGTGGTGCGGACAGTTTCCGTCGTGTGATGGTATGTATGAGGTTGAGGTCCAAGTGCGGGGCCTCCGGGTGAGCACACTGCGGTGTGCTCCCGGCACTTACCTGAGGGGCTTGCGTGACAGATATATAGCACATGGTCCTTTTTCATCTGCTGTTCCTGGGATAACATAGCACCCAGTGTCAACAACACAGACCGCTGGGGGCGGCAGTGCACACGAACACGATATATCGATTGGAGCCTAGGTAGGCCAGGTGTTGATTCGGCGATGACGAGAGAGTGAGAGCATTTTATGGAGCTGAGGGCTCGGAGCGTTTTTATGGGGATGGCGGCAGGCAGTCCCAAACAAGAGTAATTTTACGAGGGATGGAGGAACGAAGAGCATCGGCGGCAACGGCGAGCGCGCCGATGAGTTGCGGCAGCGGAAGCACCAACATGTGTGCGGGGCCGATACAACAGCAGCAGCAGCAGCAGCAAGGTATGGGTTGCACTCGCGATTGGAGGAATGTCGATGCGGCTGGTGGGTTCTATGTCGGCAGTGAGCCGAGGAGATTTCACGGGCCTCCTCAGTGCGATCGGTGCGGGCGTTCTGGACACATGAGCATCAAATGCCTGGCATCAAACCACGAAATGATCTACTGGAAGTACAACCGATTTCACGGGCCTCCTCAGTGCGATCGGTGCGGGCGTTCTGGACACATGAGCATCAAATGCCTGGCATCAAACCACGAAATGATCTACTGGAAGTACAACCGATTTCACGGGCCTCCTCAGTGCGATCGGTGCGGGCGTTCTGGACACATGAGCATCAAATGCCTGGCATCAAACCACGAAATGATCTACTGGAAGTACAACCGATTTCACGGGCCTCCTCAGTGCGATCGGTGCGGGCGTTCTGGACACATGAGCATCAAATGCCTGGCATCAAACCACGAAATGATCTACTGGAAGTACAACCGATTTCACGGGCCTCCTCAGTGCGATCGGTGCGGGCGTTCTGGACACATGAGCATCAAATGCCTGGCATCAAACCACGAAATGATCTACTGGAAGTACAACCGATTTCACGGGCCTCCTCAGTGCGATCGGTGCGCGCGTTCTGTACACGTAAGCATCAAATGCCTGTCACCAAACTGCGAGTGATCTACTGGAAGCACCACCGACCTGGTACGTTTCAGCAGCAGCGGAGGAACGGCGAGTTTGGCGGCGGGTCTGTGTTTTGGCACAGCAGCAGCAGCAGCAACAGCAGCAGCAGCCAGGCGTGGTGTACGGCGGTGACTCTTAGCAATAGCCGCGGCAACAACAGCTAGCGGCCGGCTTCACCGGGGGTGCAGGTGGGCAGGTGAGTGGTGGGGTGTTTTTTGGTGAAAAGAGGAGGGGAGCTGCTGCCGGTTCGTTTGCGGCGTATTTTCCGGTAAAAGCCCCCGCCAACCTAGCTTCTCTCAACATAAACACACACTCCGCCACTCGCTCCCCCCAGCTGCCCGCGACATCACGTGCAGCACCTGCAGTAGTGCGGCAACGCGATGAGCTGGATCTCATGGAGGGCGGATACAGCAGTAGACGTGTAGCGGAGGAACACATGCTTGGATCGTATCACGTTGTTGTAGTGTCGCCGTCCGCGGAATCACAACAACCCAAGCATTCGTCGGAAGCGGCAGCAGCAGCAGCGGTGTCCCCGGTCGCCGCGTTGGCGCCGGGTACTCAGACGGCCGCAACAGCGGCGGCGTCGACATCGGTGACGGGGGTCACGGCAGCGGCAACAGCAGCAGCGGCGTCCCCGGTCGCCGCGTTGGCGTCGGGTGTCCAGACGGCCGCAGGGGCGACGGCGGCGGCACCGGTGACGGAGGTATGTGACGAAGCGTTGGAGGAAGCGGTTGGTGCGACAACCACGCCATTGCTAGTCCTGGAGGAGCTTGATGGCCAATGTGCTGCGGGGAACGTGGGCAACAGAAGCAGCAGCAGCAGCAGCAGCAGTAGTAGCAGCAGCAGCTGCAGCAGCGAGGACAGCGGCGGCGATGGGAGCGGGGACGAGGGGTGGGATGATACCTGGAGTGGAGCCCCGACGCACCCTTTCGACCCCGGCAAGACTGAGGAGGAAGTGAGCAGCAGCAGCAGCAGCGGCAGCAGCAGCAGCGAGGAGGGCGGCGGTGATGGAAGCGGGGATGAGGGGTTGGATAAAACCTGGAGCGGATCCCCGACGCACCCCTTCGACCCCGGTTAGACATCTTCGCGTGGCGTGAGGAGACGGGTGGCGTACCCCTTCGATAGGGGCAAGAACGGGTGTGGCAGCTCCGGCGGCGGCAATGGCAGCAGCCGCAGCAGAGACGGGAGCGGCGGCTTCGGCCAGAGCCCCGTCGGCGGCAGCGGTGACAATGGCGGCGGTGGTAGAGGTGGCAGCAGCGACGTCACAGGCAGCCGTGTTGGCGCTGGAACTCATGATGGTCGTGGCGGCGGCGGAGCGGCAACGGCGGCGATGGCAGCGGCGGCAGCAGCGGCGGCGCCCTCGAGTCGACCGGGAACGGGGAGAACACGGTGGTAGCGACGACCTCTTGTTACAGCCAAGTGGGAGAACATGTGAAACGCACGAGTATGTACGGTGTTGTGAGCAGACATGGGCGTTTTAGATTCGCCATTTGGTTTCGCCGTTTTATTTTTGTTATTCTGTTTTTCCCTTGCTAGCGTCCGCTCCCTTTGGTGCAGAAAACACTTGTGTGCCACAGCGTGTGCGTAATGTTTTTTTTTGTGTCTACTTGTTTGCATGTTAATTGTGCGCTGCGACAAGATAAGCATTGTCACAACCTGTGGAATAGGAAGTAGCACGTGGGCATATCTTCCTTGGTTCTTGGTATGTTTTCGGTCGCGTTTTGCCTTGCAGCTGAATGCTTCATATTATGGGCTGACGGCGCGTTGTGAAGGCATACCGTTCAGGGAACAGGGGGGATTTTGGAGTGTTCCAGTTGAAAAGACACTTTGCATACGGTACGAGCTTTTTCTGTAGTTTGATGCCATGTGGGTTGCGTGTTTTCATGTTACTGGATTGTATCGCATGTTTTGCTGCTTTCGCATCGAAATTATTGGGGGGGACGGCATGTATGACCATGATTCTAGAGTGCATGAGCAGTAATCGAATTCGCTCGTTTTCTGGTCTTGTCTATGTGTGTTTTAGGTGAACGGCAAAGCAGGGGGGACTGTTGGCACAGACTAGATAGAGGTGATCGCTCGGGGTGAATGTCGGGAGCTGACAGCAGGGGGGCTGTTTGCGTGGATGCTTGCTTATATTTCTATCGTTTCTTGGACAACAGCGACGGTACCGATTAGCGGGTGCGCGCTGTTTAGGATTTGGTTCTTGGACACAATATTGAAGGGAGGTTTTGACGTGTTTTGACGATTAATGGTTGGAGCTATTGTGCTTTCCGAATTCTCGTTTTGATTGGTCAAGAAGTTGAGTTTTGTTTTGTTTTGAGGATTTGGTGCCAACTCTTTTGAAGTTTTTTCCAGAAATGTCCGTTTTCGTTTTGACGCTTTTCTGCTGTAGCACAAGTCATTTTTTGGGTACTCTTCTGAAGATGATTCTTTTGTGTCAACGGTTTGAGATTATTTCCAGAGACGAACACGTTGATTCGTGAGTATACCGATGGAGACGCTTTGTGTTGAAAACGTACCCAGTTTTGGATATGAGTCCGATCTGTGCATCCTGTGTGGGGGATACGCGTATGGGAAATATGGGTGTGATGGGTATGTATGCGATCGAGGTCCAAGTGCGGGGTCTCCGGGTGAGCACACTGCGGTGTGCTACCGGCACTTGCCTGAGGGGCTTGCGTGACGGATATATAATACATGGTCCTTTTTCATCTGCTGTTCCTGGGATAAAACAGCACCCAGTGTCAACACCACCGCCCGCTGAGGGCGGCGGTGAACACAAACAGCGGACGTTTGACCGACTCTTCTTCATGAAAAGGAACACCGGAATCGTCGGCCTAGGGATTTTCCCCAAACCCTATAGCGTACAAGTCGTGGGTTCGATTCACCCAAATGACTAATGTTTTTCCGAGGGACTCGAGAATATTTTTTCCCACCGGACATTTTCCATAGTTCGCCTTAATAACTACTTGCACTTTCGTACAATAGTAGAAGAATATTTTCGACCCTGAATGTATAAGCTCAGGATCCCCAATGATGTGAGAATTATTGTCTTGTCTTCCAACGCGAACCAATTTTCGCGGGGAGTGATCGAGCGTTGCCGACGATGTAAAAAAACATTCGGCACGGCTATTTGGGACAACGTTGTCCCAATTTTTTATTTGGGACAGCACGTCTAACTCGGCGTAGGAAGCTCGGATCGACCTCAAACCAAGTTTGTTGTAATCCTACTGGACACAGCTTTCACGCAATGTATTTTGAGTCCACAACGGAGCCGGGGCCGAGGAGATAGAGCCTAAAAAAGGGGCTCTGGCTTCGGTAAATCCACGTTTTCCTCCATAACTCGGCCCAACCACCTCCGAAACACCCCCAAAGACCTTTGTTGTGCTTGTATGATCCACAGCTATCATCCAAGCCATCGGGTGGCCTTACCCGACCTGTACATGCGGAGATATGCCCTCCCAAGGGGCACCGCAGGATTATTGGGAGGTGTCCTGTACATATCCGCGTCGTTACATCGATGCCCACGCCCCGCCAAGATGGGAAAGGGCCTGAGATGAAGTTGACCGGCTCCTAGCTTTCATTCAAGCCCTTACATAGCCTCGACCGACATGTGGTTGCCGAGATACACCCTCGCAAGGGGGCACGGCGACCCCAACAGGGGTTGTCCCAAATTCCAAATTTGGGACAACACCCCACATCGTCTCCCAAGCGTCTCGCCGGCAGCCGCAACAACT